AAATCGAGAAGATCATATGCTCCAACGCGCCTAAGTCAACGGCAAACTCTATTAAGACAAAAGACTGGACGACTTGAAACAATGGGAAGCCATATGCCAAGCTATGGGAATCCAGGTCAAACGGGCTAGCTTGTGTTGTATCGTCCTCCACCCAAATTCAGTTCACTATGGCAAGCCACGGCTACTTCAGATGACATTGCAGTCAGGTGTCGAAGCGGTGACAGCCCATTTGTCAGCTCACCGTCTTCGTGATTCGTCATGTAGCGTTCGTATATTTCCTGACATTCATTGGAGTGAGCGTCCGCGAAGAAAGCAAAATGCAGGAGAATACCGCAAGCAAACCGACGAAAGATCAATATTTGTACATGGTGTCCCCGAAATCCAATCATCCGACGAGTCGCAGGCCCAAGCTCATGACTTGGAAGAGTGCTGGTATATTCATGAAGTCCTCTCTCCAATACGTGACTGCCTACTCAACGTTAAGGTTGCTCACCTCATCAAACTATAAAGGTAGGGGTCTAAGGGTGCTGAAAGTCATGCTCTACACCAAACAAATGGTTGAAAGAATGCTCGGAAGTTGGCACAATTTACGCACAGACGGAAACCGTCCCGGAGTGTTGTCAAGAAATAGATCCAAAAACCGGTTGTCAGCAGGCCCCACAAGGGTCGGCGTAAATTTTTAAGAAACCCAGGTATGTTCATATACGCTTCTGGCATCAGTTGCTCTCAGTTATTTGTATACAAACGCCCAAGGGCATCTCAGTAAATTGGCAGAAATTGGATCTAATCAAACCACAAGGTGTTGGAACCTCAGCCGAGACATGTCTAAACGACGCCGAAATCGCACTACCAGGTATGTCACTCCTGCTCAATGACCGACCCACAAAGGGAGGCTGTGTAGCTCTCTACTACCGCTCCAACCTTCACATTGACCGCCTAAACGACCCTGGGATTCAAATGGTGGACGCCCTATGGTGCTGCCTGCACCTAAGGCAGGGCGATAGATGCTTAGTGGCAATTGTGTCTTTCACCAATGTCCACTTTAGAAATGGACCAGACCCTATCTTCTATTATGAAGAATCTACTGGAACGATCTTAGAGCCACGTTCTCCTGGTAGGGGACTTTAATCTGCACGGTCTAGAAACCCCGGCCACTCTGGCAGAACAATTCAAGACGGGTCTGCAAGAGCTGATCGATGGTTCACTGCTGTACAACCACGTCACTTCTCCAACGCACTTCAGGACAGGAAACAAACCGGCCATCTTGGACCTCGTTTTTACCAACGAGCAACTGATGTTCGACCTAGTAACGACGTGCACTCCTTTGGGCTGCAGCGATCATGCGACATTAGTGTGCCAATACCTGTGCTATGCAAAGCATCCTAAAGAAAGTACTGAGGAATCTTACGTCATAACTAATTATGGTGACCTGTCTGAACGCATTGGTGCAACAAGCTGGTCTTTCTTAACTGCATGGTCCCCTGAAGCTACCTGCGGGGAATATGTCGATGGATTCAACAGGCTCGTGGCAAGCGCATCTCAAACCGAAATCCAGTGACCCAAAAAGATGAAGGAGCAGGACCAGGAAATGCATTGCATTGAGGGAATTGACATGGCACGCCCATATAGCCGAGCGAGGATACTTGGAGCGTCTACGCAACACAATGGAACCACTGTGTCAAACTCGTTCTGGAGAATAAAATGAAGAACCAACAAGACCTTGTGGTACAATGTTGCTCTAACGCAAAGCTTCAATACAGACATAAAAAAGCTTCGCCGCGTAAAGCGCGGAATTCTGACTCTGCACACAGCATGCGGGTTAGCACAGACAGCACAAGAGGCAGCCAACGGTTTTGGACAACAATTTGGCCGTACCTTTCAGTGTGTAACCATCCTACACCATTCCTATGCAGCTCAAGCCGCCATAAGGCATTCACCACATATCTTTCACAACAGCAGCTGTATTAAAGCGGCTGATGTTCTTGCGAGAATACAGCTCCCAGGAGGCGGACGGCATTCGCCCTAAGGCGTTGAAAGTTGCTGCCATGAGCTTAGCTAAATCGTTATCAACACTTTCGGCGATGTATTAATGAGATGCACGTCCCCATGATGTGGAAAAACGAGATTATCACTCCAATCTACAAAAGTGGCAGTGGTGCAGAACCAACGAGTTATCGTCCGATTACACTTCTTTCAGTGATTTCCAAGACCATGGAGTCCATTGTAGCTAAGGCGCTTATGGTGTACTGGAGAATAGCAAAATTCTCGTTCAGGAGCAGCATGGATTTCACACAAATCGGTCTTCCGTCACTAATCTCTTGATGGCCCGTGCAACCTGGACGGAATCTATGGATGCCGATGTATGGGTGAATGCAGCCTATCTGGATTTCTGTTGTAACGCTGTGCCCTTCGCCTCTGCCTCTCTGCGCTACCAACCAACCGGGGAAAACAAAACGCAGAGACTGCTAGACCGAAGTATCTTAGGCACAAAACATGGCTACTTTTATAGGTCACACGCGCTTACCTCGCCTCTAGCACTGAGGTGAGTCACACCGCTTGTCTGAACATATTCGACCCTGGTAGCGGCCATCTCTCTCTGACTGTAGGTAGGATCACGTCCGCAACATAGCAACCGGTGCGGTGACGACGGTCTGATTTCGTCAGCTTCCGGTTTGACCATGACAACGAGCCTGTCAGCCGCTCACGTGATCTGGCCGATCTCGCCCAGCTAGTGTGCACCATCATAGTCAGCTGTTTCGCCTCCGTAACACCTCCTCCTCCGAATTGAAGCTGCTTCCCCACCATGTGTACTTGCGTCAATTTACCTTTCCTTGTTTTGACATAAATCAGTTGCCTTGGTGGTTTTCTTCTCCTTCTGGCCGCCCTTCGATATACGTTGTCTACGGGCCCTTGTGCTTTTCCGTGGTTCGGTCTCCGCTGATCTGCGTGCCTGATCTACTTCTTGTTTCCAACCGTTAGTTCGTAATTGACTCCACCATTTCTGCGTATCACCCTTCCTCTTGACCACCTCTTCGGTCCTCGGAACTCTCGAGCGTACCCCCTGTCACCAATTCTGCAATGACACACCCTATCTGTCCGACTTTTCTCCGTATGACAACTGCAATGCTTTTCTTTCCTGATTAGCACAACGCGTTTTGCTCTGGATCCTGGTTTAGTGGCTGGCTAGAGGTTCAGGGCAGCACTGGTGATTCTGCAGCATTCTGGACCAGGTTGGAGCATTGCTTCGTGGCGTCTATGCACCTGTGTAATCTGACTGTCATTGATTTCTGTCGTCGCACAAAACATGGCTACTTTTATAGGTCACATGCGCTTACCTCGCCTCTAGCACTGAGGTGAGTCACACCGCTTGTCTGAACATATTCGACCTTGGTAGCGGCCATCTCTCTCTGACTGTAGGTAGGATCACGTCCGCAACATAGCAACCGGTGCGGCGACGACGGTCTGATTTCGTCAGCTTCCGGTTTGACCATGACAACGAGCCTGTCAGCCGCTCACGTGATCTGGCCGATCTCGCCCCGCTAGTGTACACCATCATAGTCAGCTGTTTCGCCTCCGTAACAATTTCTCAAAGGCATTCGACTGCCTAGACCATCGAATTATACAGTACAAACTCCAGAATTATGTCGTCAGCGTTCCCGTTCAGAATGGTTAGGCAACTTTCTCGTTCAATGTCATCTGGATGCGAGGGTTCGCAGCACTCTGTCGGAACCAATCGAAGTTCAGTGCGGCGTACCTTAGACCTCGGTACGCGGGCCACGCCTTTTTCTGGTTTTCATAAATGACCTTGTAACGATGCTGTCTTCAACCTGTCTGCTATTTGCAGACGATCTAAAGGTATGACGTGCTATGGCCTTAGTGGAGGATCACACTGTCCTACAGGATGACCTGGACAAAGCATACATTTGGTTCATCGAGAATATGCTGCATTTCAACACCACAAAGTGCAAAATTCTGAGTCTACGCCATCAGAGTACTCACAACTACCGCCTGGGACCAGGAATTCTACAGCGGACTTCTCATGAGTGCGATCTTGGCGTGCTTGTGCTAGGGGACCTGGGGATTTTAAGGCAGACTGAAAAGGCCTCAAGTAAATCAAACGAACACTTTGGCCTTCTTCGTGGAGCGTTCGGGAAGTTTGACGCCTCAATCTTTTCGAAAACCTTTGGCGCGTACGTGAGGCCGCACACGGAATACGCTATCCAAGCGTGGCAACTCTGGCAGAAGCACCATCTCACCGCGCTTGATACCACACCATACAGGGCGACAAAGAACGTTAGAGATTTGTCCCGCCTTCCGCACCCACTCAGGATAAAAATCCTCAAAGAATACAGCGGACGCTACTGGCGTCTAAGAGGCGATCTCATAATAGGGTAGCAGATTCTGAGAAACCCCAACCACCCATGCCACTCCCTTTTGAAATTCAGTCAAAACACATTTCTGCGGGGTCATCAGTTTAAGCTGGTCACATAGTACAGCCGACTGGAATGTCGAGGAAACTTCTTCTCCCTCCGAGTGTCACAGCCTTGGAACGCCCTCTCGGTAGATGTAATTATTGCCCCTACTTTATCCATTTACAAAAACCGCCTTGACGACACTATGACACACTGACACTACGTGATATAGCCCGTGGCCATCAGGTGATGGCATTGGTACCCAACAAACAGTGGACGGCATTACGACCCCCCTATAATCTAAGTGGGAATACTCGCTTATGTGCTTCTCTAAACCCCTTGGTGAGTCATGTATTTCGCACGTTCTTTTACTGACATGGTTTTTATTTTGCGGTTTTTACCCTCACCATCCTACGGCAGATGTCAAGCATTCGCTTTTATACCCGTCATATACCATTGCTCCGTTGCACCGATAAAGCAATAGCCCGTGGGAACAATGGATAAAACGTTATCTTACAAATCAAACCCGTTGATAGAAATGCAGAGAGAGATCGTCTCGAAAGCTAGAACACTACGTGACTCACCAACTAGGAGACGCGCAGGAAGTTGATTTAACCGAACGAACTTGAGTACACCGCTTAGGGGAGTTTGGGAAAACGAGGGCCCGCTTGGATCAGACTGGTGCAAGCTTCGGTGACGCGCCCAGCGGAGGCAAGCAGCGAATACGGCGGCTTCGTTTGGCGCACTGAGATGATCCGATGCAAGCAGCTCCAGTAGTTCGGACGAGTTGAGATTCAAAAACTCGGGCTGTTGAACGACGTCAGTGAAGTGTTCCTGTGTGAGATGTGAAAATGCAGTGGTAGAACCAATGAGACAGAATATCCGATGTAATGCTCAAACATGTTATGAGGCTGCTCATTACGAAATCAGTTGATTGATCTCCTCTGTTCAGATGAGTTACAGCATTTGAAGTAAATGCGTGAAACAGTAAGTGTGTAGGGCATGCACGAATTGTCAAGCAAGTGTGAGCACATTCACGATACAGCAGACGGCAATTGAGTGTTGGTCAGGTTCAACTATCAAACAGAACCCGATAACAAAACACGTGAAGTTGTATCTTAATGTATTCGACATCGTGCATACACTCGTATTGAGAGTGACTGAGTAAGAGATGGAAAATTCCGGTACCCTGTGAGGCAACCACCGGCTTATTGCATATGGATGCACTAAAATGCCCACAGTAAGAAACAGCACGCCAATGGGAGCAACGTGCCGAATTTCAGACTTCAGCAAAATTCACGGCAACTCCAAACTGGTTCAAATATGCTCAATGTCTAAATTGATCCTGAGGCAATCTGGAGCTTTCAACGACGGTAATGAAATACCATTTTTACGTGTCAAGTGTGCTCTTCTTCTGGTACACAGATCTCGCGATTAACTTGAAAGCTAGAACAACTCCACAGAATCAGATAACAGCAATACATCTCGATGCTACCATTTGCGACCTCTGTCATGTAGGATTTTAATCTAAGCCAATGACGAGACGCTACAATTGTCCTCGTATTCTCAAGTACCTGAATATTTTGGTCTTAAAGACTGTATCTTTGGAGTATTATTATGCTCATTCTGAGGAAGCTTGAAAGATATTCGTATAAATCTAGTAAATATAGCAAATATGTACTGGAACAGAAGTAGAAGTATGTCCGACCGCGACTGCTTCCCTTGTGCACGCATTACTTGACAGGCTGATAATTCGTGATGTCGCATATCCAGTTAGTTTCCGATCACCAGTCGGCACTGGCCTCTGTCCGAGCACACTTCGACTTCAACCTTGACCGTCTCAGAGCAACAGATGTCACATACACTCACCTGCCGCACAACCAGAATGGACCATTCGAAAAGTACCCTGACTTCAATGAGTTGCTGGTGATTTCCACGCACAACCAGCTACCGATTTGTTAAAAGGCAGGTGACCATCGCCTAGTCGCTGACACAGTGCACAGCTCAGACGACCTAATTGGACTTGTTAGATCCTCCCCAGATTACATTCCAAAACGCTCTGGAAATCATGGGGAGAAAAGGAGAGAGAATATGCAAAGTTGAATATTTGCTTTTGACCAAGAAAATAAATACCTGTCACGTTTTCAGACAGACTAATCAGAACGTGCCCAGTGACATCCAATGAAGGCGCAGCGCCAGCGAATCCCACACAGGCGTCCATATTCTCCCTGTGCAGACACGTTGCATTTTTCACTAAATTCATTGGTGAATTAACAGCAGTGGACAAAACTCGAGTATTTTTTGATCTGGCACGATTATTCTTACGATTGTGTTACGAAGGAGGCTACACCGCGTTGAAAGTTCGGAGATCTCGATTACCAGTCCGTAAGCAGTGCAAGCCTTTAAGTGCAACGTCGTGTCGCAGTGCACACCAGACTGTGGCCATCCGATGACGCTTTAGAGGACGGCCAGTCCCCACTTAACTCGGAGTATATTATGTATTCCTATTATACTCTTTGTTTGCTGGGAGGTATCTTCAGGTTGCAGAAGCCGCGACAACCGCTGTGCTCCTAAACCATTTATCAAGTCACATGAACATGATTCCAGATGAGTAGCCAATGACCCACTGGTTTACCATGGTTAGGGACTAAGAAATGTGCCATCTCAGTACTGAATTTATAACATGCCTACTGCGTGTGGTATAGTTGTGACTGAAAAGCGTGAAGCGCGTGAAGGGAAGCGCGCTGAACGCAAGGGGGAGCTTAAATGTTGAGAGAAAACTTAACATGAAGGAAGAGTAGCAAAACGTTTCGCTAACCGATCAATCGTTACTACAAGGGCTCGATTCTATCATTTCGGGTTTCCTAAGCGGGCTGCATTTTCTTGGTCAGGTGACAGGGGCTGGAGACGGTGACATTATGGGTTGCAGACTATTGGGCTACGGTGGATGCCGGTAGCCAACGTGAGACTGGTTAGTCGTGATGCGGCACAGTTCGCTCTCCCCGGCTGACAGCTACCAAATGAAAGACTCTTAAGCGTAAACGACTAGTTGAACGTAACATTGGGAGCAGTCTTCATAATGTACAGTCTAAAACAGAGTGGTTGGAATGAAACTCAACGCAGTTAAACCCAACTATGTATCCGTAACAACACTGGACAACCGTTTTGTCCTTTCGGAGCTAATCATTGGCGTGTACGCACCCAGTTTACTGAGAAGTACACTTGGCGAGCGAGCCTACTCTGTCTAGCAGTATGCATTCTCGTTAAAGCAAGCGCCTTAAAGAGTTCGTTGACGCACTTTGCTATACTGAAAGCTTTCGCATGCGATTCCTGCAACCAGTCAGCCTAAACGGGGTAAATATGAACAAATGACGGTCCACCGAATTGTGCGACATTAAAGCTTTACGTGCGCATCGCTTCCAGTAGCTTCAGTTTGGTGCAGTAGCAACCGTTGGTACCAGCACTGTATGGAATCACGACGGGGACCATTGGATTTTCAGATTTGATGCCGGGCAACGCTCAATGAAGAAGCAATTTCATTCTGTGTGATGCCAGACTTGCTCTGAATATGGGAAGGGGAATCCCTGTAGGCGCTGCCATCGGTGGCACACGGTGGAGGTAGGCACACTGATTTCCAAACCCCTACCGAGCGAATGCGATGCAAGTGGCTGGTCGATAAACGCCGCGCGGATTGGAGGCCTAGTGATCGACACAGGTGTGAGACCACACGATTTTAACAGCGTGTGGGAGAATTACAGCCATGACCAGTCACGTGCTTTGTTCAGACTGCTAACGCCAACCGTCTGGGATTCGTCTAAGGTATCAGACGACACGGTGTGCATAGTGAACATGTTGACAATCACCCTAGTATGGTATCAACAATACGCCGGTACACAGTACCGACGGTTCGCTGCAGCGCAACCAACAACAGTCGCACATGTGCTAAGAATACTGCAAGGGTCGCCCTGTTTCCTAGGCAGGCCTGAACCCGCGCTGTAGATAACAAGGCAGACTTGTGTTCCTTTAGGCCACGGGCCACCCCCTAGTATGGAGAAAGTAAGGATTAGTGAAAAACTTTGAACGATGAATCACAACAAACGTTTGTGGTATGTGTTGTGTCACCAACGAGTGGCTGCGCCCCACGACCGTAAAGGGAAGACGAAGACGAGCGAGGGCAGAGTTGTTTGCATGAGAACGTTGCTTCCTTATATAGGGTATAATAGTGGGTGAAGCAAAGCTACCAAAACACGTTGGAGCCAAGCAACGACATAGGAGACACAGAATAATACAGGGCGAATGAAAAAGTGGTAAAAGAAAGAATGAACCAGGCGAAATCGAGGAAACGGCATTAGCGGAAATGGACTTCTGAGATGACATCCTTTACGAACGACGTAGGCAAACAAATCAAAGCAAAGAAAACATGCGTCCAAACTAAACGGTAACGAAACGCAAACAGATACCTAAGGAATGTCACAAAAAGTGTTTGCCCAGTACGCATTCTCCTAAGGTTATATATGCCTTAATTAAAGACCTCAGTTCAGTGGGAAAGCCATCTTGAATCGCTGGTTATATGTGAATGGATTGTGGGCCGTGAAGAACATTCGGTCTATCTGGTTACTGGGACCGCAATCTGATCGATCTGCTACCAGCCTAACACAACTCGAGCCTTAACCAAATGTCCACACTATGGACGGGCGGCAATTCATGTGAAAAATAAAGCTATAAAAAGGTGTCAAGTTGATGGTGGCCCGATTGCATATAACATCGGCCCAGATAAAACAAAGGGTCAATGTGATGACGGCGTACTAGCACATGACAACAGCCAAACGAATTGAGTCAAAATGATGGCGACTTGTTGTAAATCCGGTCCGCACATGGCCAGACGAGACGTTGAAGTGCGGAGGAAACTTTTCGAGAGATTACACCGCACGTCCACAAGAGACATTCTCATAAATGGCCATGGTTATTTACTTGAAATAACGGCTAGCCGTACATTTAAGCTTACTGTCAAACTCTACATCTTTTATAACATTTAAATGACAGAAAACTCCTAACACTCAGTTGAGACCATTGAAAAATCCGAAAAACTTTCTCCGCAATTCGATTATGTTGCACAAAATGATCATGAAATGTAATCAGTCTTTGTCTGACAAGGTCAAGTAAAACAACAATTATTTATTTAGCGGTCCGCAACCCATACCCCGCACGCACAAGCGAATGAAGCCGTTGTGGTGTGGTGAAATAATTGAAGACACTAATGCGACAGTCATCAATAGCGTGGTGCAAGGATGCGAAACCGCAACCAGCAAACCGTAAACCGTACAGCCACCCAAAAAAAAACGAACGCATTAGCACCGCAGTCGTATCAGCAAGAGGAATGGATGCTCAAACAATGCACACCACATAACCACTAGAAACCAAAACAACCGGGCAAAGCGATCTCCAACGCGACGGGTGAATATCTCAAAAGTAGGAACGGATTTACGGTTAGTGTGATGGAAGAAGGCCGAATAGCGTCCACTTACTTGCCGTGGCTCGCTTATGGTGAACGCCGGTCATTTACGGTTGTTGTCCCCAACATCCAATAGCCATCCAATGTTTAGCGAAATTCACAACATGCTACTGCGCGTGCAGAGACATGAATTTCTCTCTCACCTTAGTGGTGAGGAGGTACAGAATTCTCGGCAGCCGAGTGATTTAGTGCAGGGCCCAGCTGAGAAAAAGCCTAAATTCTAAAGGCGCACCGACATGAGGCTGTTTTGATCATGGGCGAGATGAGTACAGACAGCCACAACGTGTTTCCGGCGTTCGTTAGCTGTCAGCTAACTTCGCAC